TGGGGATGCAGGGTCACAAGGCCATGGGGGGACAGGGCTATGGGGACACAGGGACACATGGCTGTGGGGACAGAGGGCTATGAGGACACGGGATACACCGGCAAGAGGGCTATGGGGACACAGGGACCATGTGGACACATGTCTATGGGGATGCAGGGTCACGGAGCCACAGGACATGGGACTATGTGGGCATGGGACACGCCGCCATAAGGACACAGGGCCATGGGGACACATGGCTATGAGGATTAAGGGTCACACAGTCACAAGTACACGGGACACAGGGCTATGGGAACATGGGATATGGGGACATGGGATACGGGGCCAGGAGGACACAGGGCTCTGGGAACACAGCGTGATGGGGCCATGGGCACCCAGGGCCATGGGGACACGGCGCCATGGGGATGCAGTGACACAGAGCCATGGGGACACAGGGCCATGAGCACCCAGGGCCATGGGGATGCAATGACACAGGGCCATGGGGACAGAGGGCCATGAGCACCCAGGGCCATGGGGCCATGGGGATGCAGTGACATAGGGCCATGGGGACACAGGGACATGAGCACCCAGGGCCATGGGGATGCAGTGACACAGGGACATTTGGCACCCAGGGCCATGGGCACCCAGGGCCATGGGGATGCAGTGACACAGGGACATGGGGACAGAGGGACATGAGTACCCAGGGCCATGGGCACCCAGGGCCATGGGGACAGTGACACAGGCCATGGGGATGCAGTGACACAGGGCCATGGGGACAGAGGGCCATGGGCACCCAGGGCCATGGGGACACGGGGCCATGGGGATGCAGTGACACAGGGTCATGGGGACAGAGGGCCATGAGCACCCAGGGCCATGGGGCCATGGGGATGCAGTGACACAGGGCCCTGGGGACACAGGGCCATGGGGACAGGGACATGAGTACCCAGGGCCATGGGGATGCAATGACACAGGGCCATGGGGACAGAGGGCCATGAGCACCCAGGGCCATGGGGCCATGGGGATGCAGTGACACAGGGCCATGGGGACACAGGGCCATGGGGATGCAGTGACAGAGGGACATGGGGACACAGGGCCATGGGGATGCAGGGACATGAGCGCCCAGGGCCATAGGGCCATGGGGCCATGGGGATGCAGTGACACATGGGGGCACAGTGAGCAGCACAGGGCCATGGGGCCATGGGGATGCAGTGACAGAGGGACATGGGGACACAGGGCCATGGGGATGCAGGGACATGAGCGCCCAGGGCCATAGGGCCATGGGGCCATGGGGATGCAGTGACACAGGGCCATGGGGACACAGGGACATGGGGATGCAGTGACACAGGGCCATGGGGACACAGGGCCATGGGGATGCAGTGACACAGGGATATTTGGCACCCAGGGCCATGGGGACACGGACCCACCCCTCGGGGACACCCCCATTACGCATGAGGAGGCGGAGCCGCGCAGCGGCCCCACCCTCCTCGGCAAGCCTAGCCCCGCCCCCTCCTTTTCATTGGCTCCTTCGCTGCCCTCTCCGCTCCCCATTGGCTGTGGCAGCCGGGGCGGGCCGGAAGCGGCGTTGTGGCGGCGGCGGCGGCGCCTGACGCGGAAGAGCGGGGCTGGGCGGCGCGGACGGGTGAGAGCGGGGGGGACCGGGCCTGAACCCGAACCGCACCGGGGACACCCCCCCAGGTCCCCCCCCAGGTCCCCCCCCCCAGACCCCGGGTACCCCCCTCCGGCCTCCCCTCCTCACACGTCCCTCACAGCCGCCCCCGCTGCCCTGTGGGGCCGCTGCCGTGTGTTCCCCCCCCCCCGTTACCTCAGGGCCGACCCTGCCCCCGGCTCCATTTACTGCCCCCGGCTCCATTTACTGCCCCCGACTTTGGGGTCAGTCCCTTGGGTTCCCGTGCGGGATCCATTGGGGTCGGGCTCTGTTTGGGGCAGCCGGGGTCACCCGTTGGAGTGGATGTGAACCCGGGAGGGGGCTGCGAGTGTGCTGCGGGGACGGAGCGGGCCGCTCCCGAGGAGCACGGTTCGTTCTTAGGGCTCCGTGAGGAACGTGGCTTGTTCCTGGGGTCTGGGGAGGAAAACGCTGTGTTTGTGGGGTTTTGATGGGGAAAGTGGTTGATTGGGGGGGAGGTCGTAAGGAAAATGGTTGATTACTGGGAATTTGGTGAGGAAAATGGTTGATTTTGGGGGGGTTCGTAAGGAAAATGGTTGATTATTGGGAATTTGGTGAGGAAAATGGTTGATTATGGGGGTTTCGTAAGGAAAATGGTTGATTATTCAGAATTTGATGAGGGAAATGGTTGATTTTTGGGGTTTTCATAAGGAAAATGGTTGATTATTGGGAATTTGCTGAGGAAAATGGTTGATTTGGGGGGTTTTTGTAAGGAAAATGGTTGATTATTGGGAATTTGGCGAGGAAAATGGTTGATTTATGGGGGGGGTTCATAAGGAAAATGGTTGATTATTGGGAATTTGGTGAGGGAAATGGTTGGTTATGGGGGTTTCCTAAGGAAAATGGTTGATTATTTGGAATTTGATGAGGAAAGTGGATGATTTGGGGGGTTTCGTAAGGCAAATGGTTGATTATTGGGAATTTGGTGAGGAAAATGGTTGATTTGGGGGGTTTTCGTAAGGCAAATGGTTGATTATTGGGAATTTGGTGAGGAAAATGGTTGATTGGGGGGGGGTCATAAGGAAAATGGTTCATTATTGGGAATTTGGTGAGGAAAATGGTTGATTTGCGGCCTTTTTGTAAGGCAAATGGTTGATTATTGGGAATTTGGTGAGGAAAATGGTTGATTTGGGGGGTTTTCGTAAGGCAAATGGTTGATTATTGGGAATTTGGTGAGGAAAATGGTTGACTTAGGGGGGTTTCGTAAGGCAAATGGTTGATTAATGGGAATTTGGTAAGGAAAATGGTTGATTTGGGGGCTTTTCATAAGGAAAATGGTTGATTATTGGAACTTTGGTAAGGAAAATGGTTGATTTATGGGGGGTTTCGTAAGGAAAATGGTTGATTATTGGGAGTTTGGTGAGGAAAATGGTTGATTTGGGGGGTTTTCATAAGGAAAATGGTTGATTATTGAGAGTTTGGTGAGGAAAATGGTCAATTTTTTTGGTTTTGGTGAGGGAAACGGGTGATTCTCAGGGTTTTGGTGCTGGAAATGCTTCAATCTTGGGATTTTGGTGGGGAAAGTGTTTGATTCTGGGGGGTTTGGTGAGGAAAAAGGTTGATTCTTGGAGTTTCATCAGGAAAATGGTTAATTATTGGGAATTCAATGAGGGAAATGATTGGTTCTTGGGGTTTCGATGCTGGAAATGCTTCGTTCCTGGGGTTTCAGTGAGGAAAATGGTTAATTCTGGTGGTTTGATGGGGAAACCCCTTTATTCTGCACCAGTCTCTTTGCTCTTCTCCTTGTGGGGAAGGAACTTTAAAAACCAATGAAACGTGAAGTAAAACCGAGGTCCTGAAAGTGGAAGAGTGAGCAGAGGGGGGCTTGGGACAGGTGATGTTATCCCTTAACTCCATCCTTTCAGAATCACAGGATTTCAAGCCTTTGCTCTGCTGCCAGGGCTGTGAAACCTCAGCAGCGAGCCACATAGATGGGCAAAAAGGGAACTGCTGCGTGCTGAGGGATTTCTTCCGTTTCCTGCTCTTGTGTAACCCCATAGAGTGCCCCATGACTTCTCCAGAGGGAATTGTTCCTGTAGGCAGCTGCCACAACAAGCCCGAACACCAGGGAAGCTCCAGGGTGATGTTTTTCCAGCACAAGCAGTGATTTCTCTTTTCCTGATCCTCTGGAATATTAAGCTCTCTCCAGGCCAGGTTGGATGGGGCTTGGAGCACCCTGCTCTAGTGGAAGGTGTCCCTGCCTATGGCAGGGGTTGGAGCTGGATGAGCTTTAAGGACCTTTCCAACACAAACCATTCCATGATTAATCTCCAGTGAAGTTCCTCCTGGAGGTCTGAGGAGCTTCTCTATGCAAGCTCTGCCTACGTTTTCTTCCCAGTCCATCCATGTCTTATTCTTGTAGGCAGCTGCATTCCTGCTTCCTGCTACAATGCCCTGAGTATGTTTCTGCTTCCCTTAATTGCATCTGCTCTATTCTTCCTCTCTGCTTCAATGTTTTAAGAAGCATCTACCAAGGTGACACCTTTTTTCCTTTCTTACTTTCCACCATGGCCTAGAAGTGGGAATTTGGCTCAAATTTGATTCAACTCAAGCACTAAAATTTACCTCTGATTTCTTTTCATACATTTAATACCCACTGGATTGAGTCCAGAGGAGGCCACAGAGCTGCTGCAAGGGCTGGAGCAGCTCTACTCTGGAGCCAGGCTGAGAGAGCTGGGCTGGGTCAGCCTGGAGAAGAGAAGGCTCCTTAAAGGGAGACCTTAGAGCAGCTCCAGTGCCCAAAGGGGCTGCAGGGAACCCAGAGAGGGGCTTTGGACAAGGGCCTGTAGGGACAGGCCAAGGGGAATGGCTTGAACCTGCCAGAGGGGAGACTGAGATGAGCTCTTAGGCAGAAGCTGTTCCCTGTGAGGGTGCTGAGGCATTGGCACAGGGCGCTCAGAGAAGCGGTGCAGTGTCATAGAGAACAGACAGATGAGGAGATGCTGCTTTGTGCAGCTTCTTGTTGATAGGGTTTAGTAGAGAAGACAGAGCCAGACTCTTCCTGTGGATGCATAGTGCAGGACAGGAGGCAACAGGGATGAGCAGGAACATGGGGAAACCTTGGACAGGTGGGATTTCTTCCTGTTTTCATGATGAGGGTGATGAAGCTTTGGCCAAAGCAATGAGGGATATTGTGGGATCTCTGTCATTGGAGATGCTCCAATCTCAACTAGGTGAAGCTTTGAGCAACCTGCTTCAAGCCTGGTGTTGGCCTTGAGGCCTCTTCCACCTAAGTTCTTCTTAGATCCTACAATAATGGTTGGACTTGATGCTCTTCAAGGTCTTTTCCAATCTGGTTGATTCTCTGACTCTATAACATCCATGTATCTTCACCTGTGTGACCATCTCCTTTCTCACAACCCAGGGGAATGACGATGACCAACCTCCCGCCTTCCTCAGGAGATGGCAACTGCTATTACATCCTGACAGAAGACTGTTCCTATGGCAGCAAGTTATTCCAAGCTGGAAACTTGTGTTTCTGCAGCGAGAGGAGTTACTTGCGCAACTTCTCCGACGACAGACGTCCCATTTGCTTCTTGAGGGTCATCATGTTGGATGACAGCTCCACCGTCACCATCAACATGGAGATCCTTCAACCTGTGTCTGAGAAGGTGGCCTCCTTCCTCCTGGCCATCAGCAGCCACTGTGAAAGGTTGAACTGCTTCTTGGACGGGGTGAACCTCGAGGCAGCTCTGAGGGCTCTGCCTGGCCACAGGGTGATGGCTAAGGTTGAGCACCAGTATTTCCCTGGAATCATCCGTTACATTGGGAGCATTTATAGAAGCAGTGCTGTGTTGTCTCCCTTCTTCTTTGGGGTGGAGTTACAGGTAAAGGGGTCAAGAAAGGGACTTCCTTGTTTTCCCTTCATGTTTTCTGTGTGTAATATGGTTTTCTATCCTGTTTTCAGGGTGAAGGAGAAAACAGAGGGCGCAGCGATGGGTCCTGCCGTGGCACTGAGTATTTCAAGTGTAAGAAGAACTGTGGGATCTTCCTGCCATTTACCAAAGTCCAGTTTGTTCCAGATGACAACTATGGGAAGCAGAAGCCAAAAGCAGACACGGAGGAGGTAGTCCCTGTGAAAGTGGGAGATGCAGTTAGCTTCTATGTGGACGAGGTCCTCACCAGAGGAATAGCCATGGCAGTTTATAGGAAGGGAACCCAGTGGCTTGTTAAAATCTGTCCGGTAAGAGCAGCCTTGATGCCTTCTCTTGGGTTTGGGGGACTTAAGGAGTTGGAAGTCATAGAATGGCTTGGGTTGGAAAGGACCTTAAGATCATTCTGTTCCAACCCCTGCCACGGGCAGGGACACCTTCCACTAGAGCAGGTTGCTTCAAGCCCTGTCCAATCTGGCCTTGAACACTGCCAGGGATGGAGCAGCCACAGCTTCTCTGGGCACCCTGTGCCAGCGCCTCACCATCCTCACAAGAAAGAATTTCTTCCTTATCTCCAACCTGAACTTCCCCTGTTTCACTTTGAACCCATCACCCCTTGTCCTATCGCTCCCGTCCCTGATGAAGAGCCCCTCTCCAGCATCCTTGTAGCCCCCTTCAGACACTGGAAGCTGCTCTGAGGTCTCCGCGCAGCTTCTTTTCTTCCGGCTCAACAGCCCCAATGTTCTCAGCCTGGCTCCATACAGGAGGTGCTTCAGCCCTTGATCATCCTCATGGCCTCATCTGGACTTGCTCCAACAGCTCCATGTCCTTCTTATGTTGAGGACACCAGAACTTCACACAGTGGTGCAAGTGGGGTCTCCCCTTCACGCAGCAGAGGGGCAGGATCCCCTCCCTGAGCTGCTGCTGCTCATGCTCTGGGGGTGCAGTCCAGATATGGAGAGGCTCTGGGCTCAAGCGCACACTGAAGCCGGGTCATGGAGAGCTTCTCACCCAACACCCCAAGTCCTTCTCCTCAGGCTGCTCTGAATCACTTCTCCACCCATCCTAGAAGGGACATGAGGTTCCATGCAAACCTTCCAGGCCTTTTTGAATAGTTGCTTCATATTCTAGGAATGCCTTATGCCTGCTAAAGCATTTAGCTGATGAATTCTTCTCTCCTTTCAGGAAGAAGAAGGAACAACTGACATTTTCAGAGAAATCCCTCTGGATTCTGTTGTGAAGGAAAACTTGCAAAGTAAGTTATCATCAGATGTGTCTTCCCTGTGTTCCTGGGGTTTATTTCTTCTCTCTGATGAGCTGAAGATCCAACAAAATCTTCAGCTAATCCCAGTTTGGTTGATCAGGAGGCAAAGAAGCTCCATGGAAAAGTCTCTCTGGGTAACATTCTTTGCATTAGGCAACTAAAGATGAGTTTGACAGAAAGAAGAAGAGAGGGTGTAATTGAAGGGCAGAAGTATTTCTTAAAGGAAGAGGCACCAGTGCTTGAAGAGTCTTTAATTTACCTGGTGAATATGGAGCAGGAGCCTCATTCTGATGCCAGATGGGCTCGGAAAAGCACAGTGATGGTTGACTCACTGTACAAGACAAGAACTCGGTGGAATCTCTCTGGAGCCATCATTAGACTCTTCACTGAGTCGATTCATCTCACTAAAGGCAGGAGAATAATTTGGGAATGACCCCCTGCTGCTGTTCCAGTAGTTCAGAACGGCTCAGGGAAGGGCTGGATTAGCTCCAGGACCAGCAAGAGACTGGACCACACAGCCTTGAGCGGGGAAACAAGGAGCAGGATCATCCCCTTTTAGCCTGTTAGACCAGCTTGGCCATATCACTGGGAATTATACCTTGTGTCTCTGATGCTGGGCTTCATGCTTGAGTTTCAGAGCAGACCTGGTATTAAAGAAGATCCAGAGGTGTTCGTCATCAGGTGTCTGTCATTCCTACCTCACTTGACATTCTGTGTTACCCACCAGGTTTATTTATGGGCTTGGAACCCCCAAACCAGATGAAACAAGAGGTCAGTGAGAGCAGTGAGGAGTGTGACGGGGGGAATTCAGCCCTGGAAGTGAACTCCATGGTCCAGATCACCTTGGACAAAGGAACTCGGGTTTCGGGAATCATCCGCTGGTTGGGCTACCTGCCCCAAATTGAGCACAAGATGGCAGGAGTTGAACTGGTGAGGAGCAAACATTTCCTGCTGGAAAATGGGGCATCAGAGTGGCTGCTCTTGGTTGCTTTTCTCTTTTAAGACCTTCTGCTTGTGTGTTTCACAGCCTAATGTGGGCCTCTGATGTAGTGGAGAGTGAATTGTAAGGACAAGCAGCCAGTTAGGCCTTCCTTTAGGCTTTTGAGGGGAGTCTGTGGGGTGATTGCGAGGGTTGGTTCACTCTCTTCCAGAACATTGTGATTGGAATGTGGGATGGAATAATCATGGATCCTGCAAGTGGCATCAATAGGTTCACCACGTGACCGGAATAAATGAATCATAGAATGGTTTGGATTGGAAGGGACCTTAAGATCATCCAGTTCCAACCCCCTGCCATGGGCAGGGACACCTTGCACTAGACCATGTCACCCAAGGCTCTGTCCAGCCTGGCCTTGAACCCTGCCAGGGATAGAAACAGGGATGAAAACAGTCAACAAAATGGGATCAAACTCCACGGCTCTTAAAATAGAATCATAGAATAGTTAGGGTTTGAAAGGATCTTAAGATCATCCAGTTCCAACCCCCCTGCCATGGGCAGGGACACCTCACACTGAACCATGCCACCCAAGGCTTCGTCCAACCTGGTCTTGAACACTGCCAGGGATGGAGCATTCACAACCTCCCTGGGTAACCCATTCCAGTGCCTCACCACCTAACAGTAAAGAATTTCTTCCTTATGTCCAATCTAAACTTCCCCTGTTTAAGTTTAGATGTTTAATATTAGATGGCCATATGGGGGATTTGTGCTCTGATGCTATTCCTCACTGCTTTTTTCCCAGGATGAAGATAAGGGGGTCAGTGATGGTGAATGGTTGGGCAAATACTACTTCCACTGTGCTCCGAAGCGTGGCCTCTTCGTGAAGCTGCAGTGCTGCCAACCTGATGTTCGCTTCCAGAGTTCACACAGCAGTTATTTGAGCCTCATAGATTATGGTAAGATAGAATCATGGAATGGTTTGTGTTGGAAGGGACCTCAAAACTCACCCAGTCCCAACCCCTGCCATGGCCAGGGACATCTTCCACTAGAGCAGGGTGCTCCAAGCCTCATCCAACCTGGCCTTGAACACTGCCAGGGATGGGGCAGCCACAGCTTCTCTGGGCACCCTGTGCCAGCGCCTCAGCACCCTCACAGGGAAGAGCTTCTGCCTAAGAGCTCATCTCAGTCTCCCCTCTGGCAGGTTAAAGCCATTCCCCTTGGCCTGTCCTTACAGGCCCTTGTCCCAAGCCCCTCTCCAAGTTTCTTGCAGCCCCCTTAGGCACTGGAGCTGCTCGAAGGTTTCCACTTCAAGCAGCAGAGGGGCAGAATCCTCTTCCTGACCTGGTGCTCGTACTCTGGGGGTGTAGCCCAGCACATGAGGGGGTTCTGGGCTCAAGCACACACTGCTGGGTCATGTTGAGGTTCTTAAGCCCTCCTTAGGGCTGCTCCATTCTGTCTCAACCCAGCTTGTGTTTGTGCTTGGGATTGCCCCAGCCCACATGCAGGACGTTGCACTTGGCCTTGTGGAACCTCATGAGGTTCACAAGGGCCCACTCTAGGGAGAAGGGAGACAGGGCTGTGCTGGGACAAGACACACTATGGAGAAACCTCATAGACAGTGTCTTAGTCAGTGGTTTAATATTCTTCACTTCGGGTGTTCCTTGAGATGCCAGTTTTAAGGATGCTGATGGTAATTATAGGGAATGCCCTTGGAAAGGGAGACAGGATTAAATCAGCTTTAGTGCAGAATTTGAAGTGATGGTAAGTCCTTCACAAGAAGAACAGGTCAGTGTTTTCATTTCAATAGAAGAAATTCCTCCAGAGCACAGAAACCAACATGAACTAACTATTTAGAAACAGTAAATGAGATGACTGGAGATGAGACAGCAGGATTCCTCCAGGAATATCCCAAAACCTGGAAAGAGGGATATGGGAAACTGTCTTAAGGACATGCTGAACAGAGATGATTGAATTACAAGGGGAGAATGCTGAAGAAAGCAGGAAAGAGCAGATTGAGAAGGCCACCTTGGAGGCTTGAGATGACAGAGCAGCAGGATGAGGCTGTTAAAGCACAGCTGCCTGTTTGTCCCTTTGCTCCTGAGGTTACAGGACAGGTAGATCCTAACCTTCCATATAACATAGCACCAGCTCATTTGTAGCTCTTTGTTATACCTGGCAGAGGTGGGTATGGATTGGTAGGATATGTCTCTGGTTTGGTTTTGGCTCTGATTACAGTAGAGAAATTACTAAGGAGACAATTCTTCATCCCAGTGTGGTTGAAATCCCATCAGGAGCAGCACAGAGGAGCCTGGTGCTGACTTCTGGGCAGGGAATAGCATCAGGGAAGGGCAGAGATGAGCCAGACGAGGTGGGAAGCTCAAGGGAGTTGCTTCTCTTTGCAGGAGGACAAGAAGTTCTTCCCCAGGCTCCAGACAGTTTTCCTCCCCTCAGGAATGAGGCAGCAGTGCGTGTCCTGCGAGGGCGGATGAAGGGGATCCAAGGCCATTGTAATTCCTGCTATATGGATGCAGCTCTCTTCAGGTAAGGACCTGTTTGGATGATGCCAGCTGATTAAATGAGTGCTTTTTGAATTGGATAGAGCCCTAAACTGCAGCATTTCCAGGGAATTCTGAGGGGGTTTGTTCTCAAGCCCTGGAGTACCCCTCGTGTGTACACACAGAATCACACACAGAATCAGCCAGGGTGGAAAAGACCTTTTAAGCTCACCCAGTCCAACTATTACCTCAGTACTGCCAAGGCCACCTCTAACCCATGGCACTGAGGCCTCGTCCCCACGCTGTGTGAACACTTGCAGGAACGGTGACTGCAGCCCTGCCCTGGGCAGCCTGTTCCAATGCCTGAGCACCCTCTGGGCAAGGAATTGTTCCTCAGCTCCATCTAAACCTGCCCTGGTGCAGCTTGAGGCCGTCTCCTCTTGTCCCATCCCTTGTTCCTTGGGAGCAGAGCCCAGCCCCTCCTGGCTCCATCCTCCTCTCAGGCAGTTGTAGGGAGCAATCAGCCCCCCCCTGAGCCTTCTCTTCTCCACACTGAACCCCCCAGGTCCCTCAGCCGTTCCCCATCACACTTGGGCTCCAGGCCCTGCACCAGCTCCGTTGCCCTTCTCTGGCCCTGCTCCAGCACCTCAATGTCTCTCTTGTAGTGAGGGGCCCAGCGCAGAGCCTAGGATTCGAGGTGCAGCCTCACCAGTGCCCATCACAGGGGGACAGTCACTGCCCTGGTCCTGTTGCCACACTGGTGCTGATCCAGCACCTAATGTCCTGTGTGTCTGTCAAGTAGGGTGATGAGATATCCTGGCACCGTGCTGACACTGTCACTGGAGGTAGTGGCTGGAAACGTGTCAAAGAAACCACCCAAGAGATCCCAGCTTCACTGTTTGGAGAGGAAAAAAGCCTCAGTGGTGCCCTCTCCTGAGCAGTTTGGGCTGCAAAGTACGAGATCTCATTGTGTCTGAGGTGTTGGAGCTGTTCCTTGCTTCCTACCAGTGTTCTTTAAACCTGATGTGGTTTCTCTCACCGTGGAGATGTGCTGCCACTCACCCTTCTGTAACTGCATGCATGGACTGTTGAGAATCAAAGCCACCAACTGTCACCAGGCACAACGGTTTGGTTCTAGTTATTGCTGCAAATATTACACCCATCCCTCTCTTTCCACAGCCTCTTCTCCTGTACATCTGTGGTGGACTCCATGCTCTTCAAGCCCTTCCTGCTGTGTGATAGGAACGTCCAGAGCATTCTGAGGGATGAGATTGTTAATCCCCTCCGAAGGTGAGTATAATATGTGGGAATCCTGGAAGTCATCTATCTGCCTTCACACTATCTCTTCTAGATGGTATCTGTCATTAAGGGAAGGGTTACCTGGAGGGTTTCTCCTGCCAGCCACATCCAAAGGGCTTCATATTGGGTTCTTTTTCCAGTTAAACCATTCCCTGGGTTCTAAGGCTGTCACAACTCCTCCTGCATGTGCACAAGGATCTCCTGCTCAGAAGGAAGCCTCATAAAAGGAGGATTCCTGGGATTCAGACCACCTCTGGAGAGAACCCTGGAGTAGATGGACCAGTGGCATTGCTTCACCAGCAATTAGGCCCAAAGGCAGTGTCAGTGCCAGGCTGGATGAGAGGAAACCATGGCATGAGGCTAAATTCTTTGGCATTTGTATCAAAGATACCAGGTTCTTTCTGCATCCTCCCTAGATAGGTGTGGAAGAGAGGCATGGAGAGCTGAACATCAGACATTAGCATCTTCCTTGAGGTGTCCTGACACTGATGCATGTGAATATACAGAAATAGAACCCTGGGGTGTTCTGTGATGCTGAGATTTGGTGAGAGAAGCCCTACAGAGAAGGATTTGGGGATGAAAAATGGGACAGTGTGCACTTGCAGTCCAAAAGCCAACTATATCCTGGGCTGCATCCCCAGAGCGTGAGCACCAGGTCAGGAAGGGCATTCTGCCCCTCTGCTGCAGGAAGGGGAGACCTTAGAGCAGCCCCAGTGCCTAAAGGGGCTACAGGAAAGCTGGAGAGGGGCTTTGGACAAGGGCCTGTAAGGACAGGCCAAGGGGAATGGCTTTAAGCTGCCCGAGGGGAGACTGAGCTGAGCTCTTAGGCAGAAGCTCTTCCCTGTGAGGGTGCTGAGGCGCTGGCACAGGGTGCCCAGAGAAACTGTGGCTGCCCCATCCCTGGCAGTGTTCAAGGCCAGGTTGGACACAGGGGCTTGGAGCACCCTGCTCTAGTGGAAGGTGTCCCTGCCTGTGGCAGGGGGTTGGAAGTGGATGAGCTTTAAGGTCCCTTCCAACCTGAACCATTTGGGTGACATGGTTTAATGTGAGGTGTCCCTGCCCATGGCAGGGGGGTTGGAACTGGATGATCTTAAGGTCCTTTCCAACCCTAACTATTCTATGATTTCATGATTTAAATACCTTGGAGAGATCATCTACAGCTCCTTCTTGTTTCTAGGACTGGCTTTGTCAATGCCAAGAGTGTGATGCACCTCAGGGAGCAGTTGACTGACAAGGGCCAGTGTTCAAGCTTTACCAATGCTGAGAAAGGTAAGATACTCTCTGGGTTCTTCCCTGGTTTTATTCCCTGTGTGCTGCCCCATCGAGGCTGACAGCTGCACTGTGTGCTGCTTCCAGGCCTGTGCATTAACATGCCTGCTGCATGCATTACATGTTCACTTACAGAAAGATGCACATCTCATGTATTTTCAGCTTTTAAAACTCTTTTCAGCTGAAAATTTATCCTGAAGCCTATAGAAGGACAGGAATTGTGGGTTGGAAGGGACTTTCAAAGGTCATCTAGTTCCAATCCCCTGCAATGAGCTGTGACATCCAGGTATCTTGTCATTAAACACCACTTGTAGTTTGTACTACTAGATGCTGATTTTAGCCAGGGGTGGTTTAACTGCTGTTCAGTTGCTTGAATTTCCAGAGTTTTCCCTGATTTCACTTTGAGTTTATACTTTTGGTTGTTAGTAACAGTCCATTAAAGTCTCTGAGCTGGTGTTGATGGCCTGAGGTTTCTCAGTGTAGTATGTGAAGGCTGGTTTGTTTTCCTCATGCTTACCCAACTTTAGGCCCATTTTCCCCTTACCTAGAGTGAACCAGGACATTCCAGGTTCAGGAAATGCTGGTTCATGTTGATCTGGCAGGATTTTGCCTTCAGTGAGGTCATAGCATTCCTGGTGTGGTGTGACCTATGTTTTTGTTTCATTTTCCAGATCCTGAGGAATTCCTCAATCTCATCATGCATCAGGTTCTGGGGATAGACCCACTCTTGAAACTGCAGTAAGTGTTCATATCCAAGTGATACATCTTACCCAGGCTCTTAGTTACCACCTCACCATCACTGGGTGTTATTTACACCCTTTCATTGTGGCTTTGGAGATACAGCTCAGTGAGTTGTATGCAGCTCCCCTCTGTGATCTTGTTCCAGGTGACACATCCGGATAAAGACACTTTTAAACTCCCCTTGGAGGTGCCACCTTCAGAGAACTTTGTTAAACCCCTTGTGTCACCCTCAGGGAGAGCCAGCAAGTGCTTTGAGAAGCACAGTGTCCAACTTCAGTGCAGAGCAAGAAACATCTGACAGCCTTTGGATGTGTTTGGGATGTGTCCAGACCTGCCAAGCTGGCTCAGATCCCGTAGCCTCTCAAACAGGCACTCCATGGATGCACTCCCAGATTTTCAGGGCTCTACAAAGAGGATGAGAGGCTGAAGGAAGCCAAAAATAACTGTGCTGTTGAGGAGCACAGAAGGGGATTGTTTCTTTTCTGTGCTGCTTTGTTGAGGTGTCAGTCAAGCTGCAGATCATGGAGTGCTTGGAAAGGCTGAGCACAAAGATGACTCTGTGCTGCAGCTCCTCTGCACAGGGTCAGCTGAAGGAAATCCTTTCTCTGCTGGCTCAGGACTGCAGGGGGTGGGTTACGTGCAGAACATCTCCCACACCTCCTGAATGCACTGAGGTTTGTGTGTGAAGGTATAAATAGAGCCTTCATCTGAGGAGGAGTTTGATTCTGCTATAGTGCACTTGGTTTAAAGCACGTTGAAGCCTCTTTTAATATGTTCCATCAAGCAGGGGAAATGAGTTTTGCTCATAGGAGCAGGATGTTATGCTACAGAGGGATAATGAGACCGAAGATGGTGCTTGTATCCCCTTCTCATGGCAATTATTTACCATGGAATGGTTTGGGTTGGAAAGGACCTTAAAGGTCTCCCAGTTCCAACTTGTGCCACGGGCAGGGACACCTTCCACTAGAGCAGGTTGCTGTAAGCCCTGTCCAACCTGGCCTTGAACACTGCCAGGGATGGAGCATTTACCACTTCTCTGGGCACCCTGTGCCAGGGCCTCAGCATCCTCACAGTAAAGAACTTCCTTATCTCCAACCTGAACTTCCCCTGTTTCAGTTTGAGCCCATCACCCCTTGTCCTATCACTGCAGTCCCTGATGAAGAGTCCCTCTCCAGCATCCTTGCAGCCCCCTTCAGACACTGGAAGCTGCTCTGAGTCTCCACACAGCTTCTCTTCTCCAGGCTGAGACATGAATGTTTCTGGGTGGAAAATCAGCTTCGTGTCAGCATTGCACCAGGCAGCCCTTTTGTGCCTTGGGCGCAGTAGCTCTTGCAGGACGAACCCCATATGTTTGGGAGCTCCAGTGTTTGTGGCACCACATAAACAAGCCCCATGCCCACTCCTTGCAGGTCAGGAGGCCAGAAGGAGCAGGACTGTTACTGTTACCAGATATTTATGGACAAACAGGAGGATCTGGTGGTTCCTGACGTGCAGCAGTTAGTGGAACGCTCCTTCCTGTCCTCTGATCTGAAGCTAGTGGAGGTGAGCCCAGAGCCTTCTGCCTACACTGCTCTCTGCTGCCTCTTTCTTGCTTCCTCCAACATACTTGTGCCTGATATCCTGGAGTCTGATATCCAACACTACAAAGAAGCAGGATGCAGTCACAAGAGCCTTGGGAATCTCAGCATGACCTGGGAAGCGGGCTGTGCTTTCCCTGTTGCCATTTCATCTTGTGACCCAGAGCAAAAGCCTTTACTCCCAGCAGCGATGTGGAGAGGAGAGTATTTGGAGTTTGGTTCTTCTCACAGGGTGACCTCTTTGTTTTTCTTTTCCCAGATCCCGTCATGCTTCATAATCCAAATGCCACGTTTTGGGAAGGAATACAAAATGTTCAGCAAAATCATTCCTTCCTTAGAGCTGGATATAACAGATCTGCTGCTTGACAGTAAGTTGGGATGTGTTAAAGCTGCTGGTTGGGCCTGTGAGGAGCCAGGTGACAGGTCTCACCTCTCTGGGTTGGGAGCAGATGTGGGGTGGGATCATGATATGATTCTACTTCCCTGAACACCGGTTTTTGGCAGGACAAGCTGGATTTCAGGTGAGATCTGGAGTAGAGCTATTTCCTCACCCCTGTTCTCCTGCAGGTCCCAGGGAATGCTGCTTGTGTGGAGATGTTGCCACCCTGGAGTGTTCAGAGTGTTTCAGAGACAAGGTGTTTGCAGCTACAGGCCTGAAGCAGTTCTGCAGCTCCTGCTCCAGACAGGTATCATCTTCTTTGGATGCTTATCAAACCTGCTTTGGTGCTAACAGCAGATTGAACCCCTCAGAATTCCCTCATTACCCATGCTGTCCCTGCAGCATTTCAGAAGGAATGTTCAGGGCTTCTGCCTGAGCATCACATCAGCAGCATGTGGTTAGGTGTCACACGTTACTGAACCCTCTGCTTACACAGAGCCTAAATAAGCACAAAGAGAGCACTGAGCCCTCCATGCTGTCCCACCAGGAGCAGCAGCTTTCTCACCCACCTTAGTGGGTGGCAAGTTCCCTTCTCAGCTTCTTGCTGCCAAACCTGGGGTCCTGCATCCAGCTCTGGGGGCAACAGCACAAGAGGGACGTGGAGCTGTTGGAGAGAGTCCAGAGGAGGCCACGGAGATGCTGCGAGGGCTGGAGCAGCTCTGCTCTGGAGCCAGGCTGAGAGAGCTGGGCTGGGGCAGCCTGGAGAAGAGAAGGCTCCTGAAGGGGAGACCTGAGAGCAGCTCCAATGCCTAAAGGGGCTGCAAGAAACTTGGAGAGGGGCTTTGGACAAGGGCCTGTAGGGACAGGCCAAGGGGAATGGCTTTAACCTGCCCGAGGGGAGACTGAGATGAGCTCTTAGGCAGAAGCTCTTCCCTGTGAGGGTGCTGAGGCACTGGCACAGGGTGCCCAGAGAAGCTGTGGCTGCCCCATCCCTGGCAGTGTTCAAGGGCAGGTTGGACACAGGGGCTTGGAGCACCCTGCTCTAGTGGAAGGTGTCCCTGTCCATGGCAGGGGCTTGAAACTGGAATCTGTAATTCATAGATTCCATGATTCTGTGAAGCCTGATGAGGCAATGTCATTCCCTGCCACGCAGGACCATGTGAGTCAGATCAGCAGGGAATGAACTGGGGTCCTGACCCCTGCATCCTCCTTTTTGTGTCAGGACAAGTTCAATTCTACCCTCTCAGCAGTGCCCCCCCATCACAGGCTGGTTTGGGTTGGAAAGGACCTTAAGATCATCCACGTTCAACCCCTCAAATCCTCTCTCCTTAGGTTCACTCCCACTACCACCGCAAAACGCACAAGCCAAGAGAGCTTCACATCCCAGAGGAATTCCACACCCGGAGCACCCGGGGCTGCCAGCAGGTCCCTCATGAGAAGATGGAGCTCTTTGCAGTGCTCTGCATCGAGACCAGTCACTATGTCTCCTTTGTGAAGTATGGCCCTGAGAATGACCACTGGATGTTCTTCGACAGCATGGCTGACAGGCACGGTGAGGACACGTCCCCACTTTGGTGTTGACCTCCAGAGCTCTCATGTTGGGGCACCACGTTGAGTGTTGAGTGTGATCATAGAATGGTTTGGGTTGGAAAGGACCTTAAGATCATCCACTTCCAAACCCCTGCGATGGGCAGAGACACCTCACACTGGACCATGTCACCCAAGGCTCTGTGTAACCTGGCCTTGAACACTGCCAGGGATGGAGCATTCACCACTTCTCTGGGTGACCTGTTCCAGTGCCTCAGCACCCTCACAGTGGAATCATAGAATAGTTAGGGTTGGAAAGAGCCTTAACATAATCCAGTTCCAACCCCCCTGCCATGGGCAGGGACACCTCACACTAAACCATGTCACCCAAGGCTCTGTCCAACCTGGCCTTGAACACTGCCAGGGATGGAGCATTCACAACCTCCCTGGGTAACCCATTCCAGTGCCTCACCACCCTTACATTAAAGAATTTCTTCCTTATATCCAATCTAATCTTCCCCTCTTTACGTTTTAACCCGTTACCCCTTGTCCTATCACTACAGTCCCTAATGAACAGTCCATCCCCAGCATCCCTATAGCCCCTCTGCAGTAAAGAACTTCTTCCTTAAAGAACCCTTAAAGAACTTGAAGTTAGACCTGAACTTCCTGTTTAAGTTTGAACCCTTAGGTCCCTTAGAACCTGGTTTGGACTTTCCTTCTCCTTTCTCTCTTAGGTGGTGAAAATGGCTTCAACATTCCCACAGTAACACTGTGCCCTGAAGTTGCCAAATACTTGGACTTGCCACTGGCTGTGCTGGCCCTGAAGCAGCCTCGGGACATGGATGGAGTGGCCAAGCGCCTCTTCTGTGATGCCTACATGTACATGTACCAGAGCAAGAAGATGGCACTTTACAAGTGACCCTGGTGCTGCAGAGCACTGAGGTGTTGGAAACATGAACATGGATCAGCCCTGGAGCCTGGCACCAGGGAGAGCAGCCAAGTCTGGGTACACCAAACGTGCACTTGAGCCTCTTCTTGCCTCTGCCGGTGTCTGGTATGAAGGTGCCCACAGCAGCCTGGGTTAGTTAAATCCTGTCATGTGAGAGTTTGTACTTCCAGCAGACCTGGATTCTGGATTCTTTACACTCAAATTCATTCTTCTTTCTTCCCTTCCCTTTCCTCCCCACTCTGTAGCTCTGCCCTACCTCAGAGTCTTCCCCAACGTCCTTTTCTCCCTTCCAGTGATAAGGACCAGCATTTAAGGAAAACATGGAAAGTTACCAAGCTGAGGACCAGTATTTAATCAAGACATGAATGGTTCTCCTCAGGTTTGCAAGGAGCACAAAACCCCACAGCATTATCTTGCATAACCCATCTTCACATGGACTTGTGCAGTGAGAAACCCAGGAGCTGTGAACTGCACCACGTTGTGAAGAGATGGGTCAGGATGAGGGTTTCTTGAGGTCTGGGATGTGCCCCACACCTAAAAGTGGGTCCCTGACGTGGTTGCACTTCCCTTATCCAGCACTAAACTCTGGTACTTGTACCCACCATCCCTGTTTTCAAGCATGAGGTCACTGGATGTCTTGAGCTGCAAATAGGCTTTTAAATCCATGTTTCTCTCCAGAACAAAACTGGAAGAAAGATAGAACAGAGGAACAATGTGTTTTACCTCCTCTTTCTTGCAAAGGCTGCACTACTGCTGCCTGATGGGGTGTTTTAACCTCACTTTTAGCACTTTCTGTCTCATCTCTGCACCCACTCCTGAGATCCAAAGACCAATAACAGAACTCCAAGGGCAGAAAGGAGCATTCTTGGCTTTGCTGTGACTGGAGAAAGGTCTCAGGCTGGGAACTGTTACTCCTTCAACTCAATAAATGTGCACACTGGAGCTTCTCTGCCATTAAGCTCATGCTGTCACAACAGGAGGAAGCTGTTAGAGGAGTCAGTGATGATCCCAGATCCTCAATGGATGCATCCAGGAGCCCCAGATGTGCAGCTGGAATCCCCCTCCTCTTCTTTTTCTTCCCTCTTTAATGCAGGGTGCAGCTTTAACTTCTCTTTTGGTTGACAGCAGAGGTTGTGATGCTAAAGGGGACCTCAACAGCCCGACGGTTGCAGCTGCTTCCTGGGGTGTCTCGTGTCTGTATGTGATGGCCCCAGGTTGTTACCACGCATTAAATGTCAATTCAGCTTCTAACTGTCTCTGTTGAGCATTTGAGCCTCAACCCTAAGTTGACCATGAGGACAGAGAAGGTGGACAATGTCCTGAGCTGCAATAGTGGTGCCAGGAGGTGAGGGAGATGATCCTTCCCCTCTGCTCAGCATGGATAAGGCCACAACTGGAGTATTGGATCCCATTTGGAGCTCCCCAGTACAAGGGATGAAGAGAGTCCAATGAAGGGCCGTGAAGATGGACTGGAGCATTTCTCCCATGAGGAAACACTCAGAGAGTTGTCACTGTTGAGCCTGGAGAGGAGAAGGCTCCAGGGAAACTCATCAGTGTCTGAAGAGAGGGTGCAAAGAAAACAGCATCTTCTCCATAGTGCCCAGTGATGGAACCAGAGCCCCAGGGCGCAAGAAGAAACCCAGGAGGTTCCCTCAACATCATGGAAGGCTTTTCACCATCAGGATGACAGACTCTGGTCCAGGTTTCCAAAGAAGTCATGGATTCTCCATCCTTGGAACTACCCAGAATGGGTCTGGACAAAGCCAAAGCACCAGTGGTGGAGCCTGACAAGGGTTAGGGGAGAGCAGATCATCAAGGATGGGTTTACCCTTCTCCTGCACTGATGAGCTGCTCCTCTGTGGCCACGCAGAGGGCTGAGGGTGCTGAAGCTCACTGCCTTCACCTACCTCAGGCTGCTCTTCAGTCATCTCCTTAGACCTCAGGCCCATCTCAACTCAGGTACGCTGGGCTTGGACTTTTCAATCTCTGGGGATTCTGCTTTGAAAATGTAACTTTTAATAGCAAACTATTCCTGGTTTTCCTGGGGTTCTGTGGTTTCTCTCTTAGCATGCTCAGTGTGACCCAGTGCCACAGCTGGAGCACTGCACCAGCGACCTCCAGCCCTGTCTGGAAACAAGTGACCGTCACCCAGGGCTTTGTTAAGCTCTGTTAAGTTCTTCCCCTTCTCAATGTGTGCTGCAAAGATCTAAACCACGACTGTTCCTCGGAGGGTGGATGATGCAGGTGGGTGGTTGGGCATTTGCCTCTTGTCCTCGCTCCACCTTTTCCATGGGTATGTGACACTTTTGGGTCTGTACATTTTACAAGCTTGGGGGAAAGGATTTACTACCTCCCTGTTGCAGATTTAACATGGAATGGTTTGGGTTGGAAGGGATCTTAAAGCTCATCCAGTTCCAAACCCCTGCCACAGGCAGGAACACCTTCCACTAGAGCAGCTTGCTCCAAGCCCCATCCAACCAGGCCTTGAACACTGCCAGGGATGGGGCAGGGAGATCAAGTCTCTGCAGGCTTCTTTCCCATTCCATCCCCAGCTTTTCTTGACCCTGTCTTGCTGAAGCCACTCATTGACCCTGCCCCAGTGGAGCTACAATGGGATTTTCATTGGAATTAGGTTCATAGAATAGAACAGCATCCCCATAGGATGCCATGTGGCAGCTGGGGTCACCTCCAGCTGCTCTCATAAACTTGCTTTTCATGCCACCTTTATTCAGTCATAAACAGTGAAGTGAAGGATGTTACATTCCAGTTGAAGGCCACAAGTGTTTGGAAGGACCAGGACAGCCCCATGGGGTGGCTGTAGTTGGGTAAAGGCTTTTATTAATCTCTTGCATAGAATAAAGCTAATTCCAGGGATTAAGGAACATCAGGTTGCAGAGTGCAGGTGCCAGTATGGAACTGGCATCAACCAGGAGGTGACCTCCACCCCCATGTAAAAGGGGAAGAGACGGAATGTAGCCACAGAGCCAAAGCCTAAAGAGAAAGGGCAAAGTGCATCTGCCAGGGATGTCCCAGAGGACATTCCCATGGTAGGACCCCTTCTTGTGCACTTAGGACTTGGTTTCTAGTGCCACTGAGGAGCTTCAGTGTGAGCTGCCACCACTGAAGGTGCAGGGCTGGCATGATGTGAGGCACGGTGGGCAATGCTGCCACAACAGAAGGCACAGGGTTTGCAGGAGCACTGATCTTGGCAGCACCATCATGGGAGAAGGTGCAGGGTCCCCAGGGTGGGCAGGGAAGGACCTCCCAGCTCCACCTGCCTCATCCCAGCTTTGGGATCTCTGGGTGCTCTTCCAGTTCCTGCCGGGTCTCCAGCTGAGCAGCACACACAGAGCTGTTGAAGCCACTGATTCCCAATGTATTCACTTGGCCTTCAAAAGAGCATGAAGAAGAGCTGGTGCCAAGCAGGGGATGAGCAGGGACCTCCTCACTGGCTGGCCTGCTGCAGCGTGGTGAGAAGCTGGTGCAGCTTCTCTGTCACAGCCACCTACATGGGAGCAAGAGTGGACAATGAGCCCTATGGGGACGTGCAGCCCCATCTCCATGCTCTGGTGGAGCCAGGCTCAGGCCTCCAGTGCTGGGCAGGGCTCCTGGGTGTGGATTGATGGTGCCATAATGGATGTACCAGGTAGGGCTGTGGGTCATGGAGCCGGCGGTGAGCAGGGTTGAGGAGGCCAAGGGACACCTGAGCGTGGGTCCTCACCTCGGTCAGGCTGGGCAGGGGCTCACACACCTACAAGGATAGAGATGTATCACCAGGACCATGGGGGGAGATGGTCACCAAGCCCCAGTGAGCCAGCTCCAGGCTGGACTCTGATGGCACCATGTGCTTGGTGGCACCTTGGTTGGAGCTGAGACCATCTCGGATGCAAGGAAACACAGGGATTTAACTGTCTGATTCATGATGGCCAAGACACCACCACCCTGGCTTGGTCCTTCACCCAACATGAAGGACCAGCAGAGCCACCCCTGACCTGCCCATCTCTGAAGTAGGTGCGATGAAGGGGCTCCACTGCGCTGGGCACGACCTTGCTGGTCTCACCAAGCTGCCCCAGGACACGGACCACCAGCTCCTGCCCTGCTCTGGGTGAGGGCTCCTCCTCCAGCGCCATGAGGTCCATGAAGGGGTGACCTGCAGGGGGGACCGGGTTAGAGACCAGGGTGCACAGGGCATCAGGGACAGGGTTATGGAGCAGGACTGGGGACACAGGTTAAGGGGGTAGGACAGGGACAAGGACAGCTCGACTCACCAGCAGCATCAGAGAGCCGATAGATCATCTTAGTCCCTGGGATTGTCATCTTCTCCTCATCTTCTGTGAGCTTCAGGCACGGGGAGCCATTGACCTCCACCAGCTGCAGGGGAAGGCGATTAAGGGGATGGGCACCTGATTTCTGTCACAGGCACTGATTCAGGGTGGTGCTGAAGACCTGCTGAGCTCTGTGCCCTCTGTGAGTGTCCCCATGAGCTGGGAAGGCCACTGGCGCAACAACCAGCTGAAGGCATGATAAAAGAACCCTCAAAGCACCCCGGAGTTGGCCATTTGTCTGCAAGCTCCTCACTGCAGTGCACTCATCAATGTTATGTCCATGAAAGGGAGACCTTAAGAGCAGCTCCAGTGCCTAAAGGGGCTACAGGAAACCTGGAGAGGGGCTTTGGACAAGGGCCTGTAGGGATGGGACAAGGGGAATGGCTTTAACCTGCCCGAGGGGAGACTGAGCTCTTGGGCAGAAGCTCTTCCCTGTGAGGGTGCTGAGGCGCTGGCACAGGGTGCCCAGAGAAGCTGGGGCTGCCCCATCTCTGGCAGTGTTCAAGGCCAGGTTGGACACAGGGGCTTGGAGCACCCTGCTCTAGTGGCAGGGGTTGGAGCTGGATGATAGATCCCCCTTCACTCCTCATCCCCAGCCTTGCAAAGCCCAGGAGATCCCAGGGAGCCCCCCAGGCCAAGCAGGACCAAGAGCTGCTGCCACCTCTACCTTGTAGACACAGCCCAGGGATGGCTGCAGGGGACACGTCACCAGGTTGGTCCCAATGCCGATCATATCAATCTCACTCCCCTGGTGCAAAGGGAAGACAGGGATCATGAAAAACCCATCACAACAAGAGCCATGGGGCACGGCTCTGCCCAGAGGCGTCTGTCTGTCCGTCCATCCCACCCAAACAAGCCCTGTTTTTCCTACCCTGGAAACTCTTCTCTGTTCTCACCCAGGGAGAACGTCCCCGGTGACTCGCATCCACCCCAAACCTCAGCAAAGGCCACGGTGAGGAGCCACCTCACCTCCCTGCTGAACTCCTCCAGGCTCTGCTCACTGATGTCGTTGCTGACGGCGATGGGGATGGTCTCAAACCAGGGCACCTGGAAGCTGGTGAGGAACAAGGGATGGGGTGAAGGGTTTGGGGGACCCAGAACTCTGCTCCCGTCGCCCCATGACCCGGGTGGTGAAGCCAGGGCCGGTGGCACCCAGCCAGGGGTTGGTGTGGGACTCACTGAGCACCACAGGCTCGCAGCACCCTGCGGATCTCCTTGGACTGCTTGGCCAGGTCCCCGCTGTCCAGGCGCACGCCGATGGCACGGTACCCCAGCTGCTGCAGGGCCAGCGCCACCGCACAGAAGTTGGGCAACCCACTCCTGGGATGGAGGAAGAGAGGGTTAATGTCCATTGGAGTGGGGGACAGGGACCTAGGATGGATCCAGCAGGTCCATCAGGCAACAGTGAAGCTTGGGAATGCTGCAGGTGGAAATCCAACAGCTCCTTGTCCTTCTTATGTTGACATGGAGCTGCTGCAGCAAGTCCAGAGGAGGCTATGAGGATGCTCAGGGGGTGGAGCACCTCCTGTGTGGAGACAGGCTGAGAACATTGGGGCTGTTGAGCCTGGAGGAGAGAAGCTGCGTGGAGACCTCAGAGCAGCTTCCAGTGTCTAAAGGGGGGCTACAGGGGTGCTGGAGAGGGACTGGAGTGATAGGAGAGGGGATGATAAGGTTCCAACTGAAACAGGGAAGATTTAGGTTGGATATAAGGAAGGAATTCTTTACAGTGAGACACTGGAACAGGCTGCCTAAGGAAGTGGTAAATGCTCCATCCCTGGCAGTGTTCAAGGCCAGGCTGCACACAGGGGCTTGGAGCAAGCTGCTCTAGTGGAAGGTGTCTCTGCCTGTGGCAGGGGTTGGACTTGGATGAGCTTTAAGGCCCCTTCCAACCCAAACCATTCCATGGTTCTATAAAGGCAGAATTCACCAGTGTAGGTATCTATGATTCTATCCGTGCTTGAAGGCCACCAAGCAAGGGGGGATGCTCCCATCCCCTCTGCCACAGCAATAAAGCCCCGCCGTGGGACTCGGCATTCCCACCTCCTCACACAATAGGTGTCCAGCAGCCCCTGGAAGTTACTGGGGAAGGTGATGGCGTAGGACACGAACGCAGCCAGTTCCCCCTGGTTCGCCCTCTCAGGAGGGGTCTGCAGCAGCTCACACACCCGCTGCAGCCAGGACACGGCCAGGGCCACGAGATCCACTGGCTCTCCTCCTGCCTGCGGCAGCACCTCCTGCCCGGAGAACATGGGCTTTGCATCCTCCACGGTGCCATGGGCAGAGCATCACGTCCCCATCTCCATTCCCATCCCAACTCCATATCATCCCCATCCCCATCTCATCCCTATCCCATCACCATTCACGTACCATCCCTATCCCATCTCCATTCCCATATTATCGCCTTACCATCCCTGTCCCCATCCCATCTCCATTCCCATACTATCACCATACCATCCCTGTCCCCATCCCATCTCCATTCCCATACTATCTTCATCCCCATCTCATTCCCATTCCCATACCATCCCCATCCGTATCCCCATCTCCACCTCCACCCCGTCTCCATTCCCATACTATCCTCATCCCCATCTCATTCCCATTCCCACCTCCATCCCCATCCCATCCCTATCCCCATCTCCACCCCACCCCATCTCATCCCTATCCCATCTCCATTCCCATACTATCCTCATCCCCACCTCATTCCCATTCCCACCTCCATCCCC